CCTTTCCACCCCTACCACGCTCTCTTCCAGTTGTGTCTTTTTAAGTCTAGTCCTTGAACAAAACCATGTTTTGTATCTCTTATTCTGAAGTTCAACAAACACTTCTATCCAGAGCAAGCTGATGCTGCCGTTGAGCAAAGGAATCCTACCTACCTGCCCTCTTGTCTGTCCGTTTCTGCATCATGTCCTATCTTGTATCAAGCATTTATGAGGCCACACTCGAAACTGGATCAGGAAACTGAGCTGGCTGAAAGCTAGTGGTTATTTTTTCTGCTGGGTTAGTTTCTAGCTGGAGCAGTCCTCTGAGTTAGTTGGCCGTAGAGTCACAGGAACATCTGTGCAGCACAAAGGCTGGGGCTGCACACGGGCAGGAACAGGCAGCCAGGGGGGAGAGGGAGCAGACTGTGGAGTAAACAGATCTACTTCTTCCTTTAGAAGTGCCTGTGCATGCCATCTTGTAGTGTTGCTTAAGCCTTACTTCAGCAGGGTGGCTGGGGTTTGATTTGCAGGAGTATTCACAATTATGAGTGAATTCCAGGGGAGATGTGCTCCCTGGAAAAGAAGAGCTGTCCCTTGCTAACCACATTGGAAAAGCAAATGCTAGCTTTTCAACCTATAAAATGGGGATAACAATATCACCTTACAGGAAAGGGGTAAAAATGCATTTATTGCTGTTTGTGAAACATTCTATTCTGATGAATGCTCCAGATCAACCAAGCTGGCAACGCATCCGCCTGTTTTCAGAGCTAGTGAATAACAGTGTGCAGAAAGGAAGGTGTGGAGCTGTGCTCTGATTCTCCAGGCTTCAGAGAAGCTGAGGAGAAAGTTATATAATCATGTAATTGCAATTTATATTATAGACTGTGTATGGCAAAGAAATCTGAAATAAAGGTATAAGCAGGTAGCATTTGGGATATTACTTTTGAGTATTTGAATTTTCATCTCTAATATTTTAATGCATGGGAAGGGAGTTTGTTATTAAATACAGTATACAATGGAATTCTGCTTATGTTGTTTTTAAATACTTGAACAGTATGATTTGATGGCTGACATTGCATCACATCTCTTGCAAATTTGTAACAAAAGAACCCACTCTCCACAAACGCCCCTTTTGCATTACCTTCTTGTTAGGCAAGGAAGATTTCTAGTTTTCCTTCTCTTTTCTTGCATTTTTTTCCTAAGCCTGTAGTACTATGACTACTTGACACACTATGCTGAATTAGAGTACATTAGTCTAACCAGCTATGTTCTTGCTCCAGGTACTGAATTAAAACCAAAAGGTAACACCAAATAATATTCTTAAGTATTCTGATGTGCATCCAAATAAAATGTGGGGTTTTTTTTTGCATTAGCCAAGGTTATTAACTGTGCCTTTGCTATTGAAAAGCTTTCTTGATTCATAAAATTAATGTCTATGTACATTGGTGCCTTTATAAATGCAGACTTGAGACATGTTCTGAACGTGTGTTTTGCAATTCTTTTCTGAGGATTATATAGCTGTCTAAGTACTAAGTGGCTCACATTAGTACATTTTCTGGGCTTCTTTTCTCTATTCTAGTGGTTTGGCAGTCCATCAAAATGCATAAGAATAATGCAGATCCTTGCAAATTGTGAGAAAGGGCCTGTTGACTGCAAAGCAGGACAGACAGGCTTGGCAGGAGGAAACTGCAGTGTGGATGGGTGCCTCTGTAAGCCCATGTACAGCTGAGAGTCACAATCCTGGCCTGTTAGACTTGACACTGATCATTTCATTTTGTACTTCTTACTTGACAATCCCTTTTCACCAGCCTTCAGGGTCATCTGCACACTTTTCTCCATGTTGCTGCTTTGTTGCAAATGCTCCTGCGTACTTTCTTTCTTTTCAAATCCTTTTTGATAGAAATCCCTCAATATTTCTACTAAATTAAATATACCAAAGTCTGAAACATTTCCTTGCGTTTATCAAAAAATACATTTTTTTCCACTTCTAACTAATGTGTATTTCTCATGTTGAGTTTTAATGACTTCAAATACTTTTATGCCCTATTAGTAATTACCCATGCCAATTAAATGAAACAGATTTACTTCAGGATGAATTTTTATAAGCTGCAGAGAGGGTTTAAAATGCCTCTGAAGTCCTTTAGAGAGTTGAAATGACCGTGTGAGTTGCTCAGAATTATAACTGGTGAAGTCGGGGAGCATTTATACCTACTTCATGTCAGAAAAGGTCTGTTAGTGAATGAAAAAAGAACACAGAAGTTATAATTCACAAGATGCTGCATTTTCTGCCAAAGCTGGCTGAAGAAGTTGCCTCTTGTTTCTGCCCCCTATGCCCCAAAGCAAAACTTTTCTTATGGCAGTGTAACTGTTTATGTGTTATAAACTGCATCACTGAAACGATCCATATGAAAGACAGTCCTCTAATCCCCAGGCCAATAATTCTAGAGAATACTCTAAAACCCTAAAGCCTTCCCCACAAATACAGACTTCCTGAGAACATGAATGAGAATAGGGACATTTTCTATATCCTGAAACTCACTGATCTTGGGCTCTATCAAATCATCACTGTGCAAAGTACTTAATCTATTTTTCTGGTGAGTTGTAGATCTAAATCGTAATGCATCTTGGAAGGGTGTGCTGTATACAAATTTTCACATGCTCACTGCTCATCAGTGAATCCATTTTGCACTCGGTTTCAGGGTAGTTCAGGTTCTTAGCCACATTTTCCCTGTGCTTCCAACAGTTCCAGTCAGATCTCCTCAGAAACAGTCCCACTATCTATCCTTTCATAAAACCAGACCTTCAGAGAGCAACATAAATGCTAATTAATTTACATTTACCTTGCTCTTCTGAGGTAAATAACTGTATCATTTTCCTTTTCTGTTTAAAGGAGAATATTAAAACAGAAATGAAGTGACTTGCCTATGGCAACACAGCAAATTAGTGGCAAAAGAAGGGTTGGCATTCAGAAATTCTTGGGGTTCCTGAGGCTTGTCTACACAGGGAAACCAACTGTGCATCCTTCATTCTGGAACAGCTACTTAAGCAAAGGCTGATGTATGAGTGCTCTGTTAAAGGGAGGAGAGTCCTTTTGTTCTGGAATTAGTTGAGCATTATTGAGGCAAGATAACTACCCTGGAATAAACCCCCTCTCACCTCTCTTATTCTAGAACAGCTATTCTGATGACTTCCTTATATAGAGGAGGTAAACTCTGAATTCTGCTTCTCACCCTGCTTCATACCCAATTAATAATTGCTTAATTACAAAGACACAGAAATGTTTGTACTTGCACAAAAAAAGAAAATAAATGAGTTCTGGATATTCTGACACCTGTAAGAACACATATTTTTCCCAAGTGCTGCTGCACTCCTAAACACAGCTCTAGACATCAGTAATGGGGAGAATGTAGTGAGATCAGCATCTCACACCAGTAACCCTCACACTGGGACCCCTGCACTACCAGATGTCGACCTCTCATACCTGGGATTCAGGGAGAGACTACAGGGACCCGGGAGCAGGAGCCAGGTCTGGGCTGAACTGCAGCCAAGGGTGTGTGCCTTCACTGCGGTCTCATCTCAAATAGCTCGTAGGCTGGGCTGGTGCTTGGTGTCAGAGACTCTCCCTTCCTATGCGACCCTTCTGAATACCTTCCTCATCTTAAGATCAGACACATCAGCAGTGTGTGAAGGAAGATCATAGAAACAGTTTGGGAATGTGCTTGCCTCATTAACCTCATAAAAGAACTTGCAAGCCTTACTATCTAATTTCCTCTGATGAAGGCAAATTCAGTAATTGCATACCACCGTTCCTGATACTGCAGTCACATCCAGTGCTGTTATGTGTATGTATCTGAGGACTGTGAGCCTCTTTGGACTTCCCTTTGTAAGAGTGGGGCTACAGCTTCCAATAAAAAAACTTTTAAGTAAAAACCACTGAGCTTTTTAGGTGGGTGATATAAGATAAATATATTTAAATTACTGAAAATATTTCTGTTTATTTTCCTGGTTTGTCAATTTTAGTTTTTGTTACGTGCTGGAGCACCATTGGAATCAGTTCTTTGTCCATCCGTAACATTTATTCTTTTCATGAAAATGAGACTGGGAGTGCTTTTCTGACCCCTTAACACCTGCAGGAGTCATGACTTCAAGTTGGAAACCCATAAGAGAGTGATTGCTCTCTGGATATCCAGGTATTTTTACAGTAGTAAACACGGTGGCATTTAAACATCAGTACTCTGACTCTTCAGAAGGCGTTAAGCCATTTGGAGCTGTACGTAAGTTTTGTTGGTCTTTGCTGTCTCGACGTTCCCAAAAAGTGAACGGGGGGGGTGAAGTTACCATCTCTGTGGCAGAGCAGCTGCTTAACACAGCTCGGCTGTTCCAGCTATCACCGTGCTGCACATTGCTGGAACACTGCCAGCCCAAATCAGAGGTGTTTTCTGGAGCGTCCTTATTTCAGGGAAAGCTTCAGTCACAGTGGTTTAACTGAGATTGGCAATGTCCTGTCAAGCCAAGGACAATAACAACCACTAGCAGAGTATCCAAAATGGGTTACCCAGAGCTAGTTTTGTTCAAAAATTTTGGCCATTTGAAAACAGAGCAGAACAAGGGGTGATGTCGATGTATGCTAATTTTTAAATTGTCGTTAATTTGTTATCTGTGTTGGATATCTAGAGAGAGAATCCATTTTAATTTGATTGTCAGCAAAAGAGCTCGGGATATACTATCCGGTACCGGAAGGTTTTCACTTTGGGGCAGCAGCTGCAGCGACCTTCTCCCTAGAGGTCTCCAGGAGGATGGAAAGCGATGCAAAGATCAAAATGGGAAGAAGTCAACCAAATCGGAGGGAGCCGGGCTAGGGCCTGCACCGCCCGCCGGGCCCGGCGCTTGGCTGTTGCCATGGGAACGCCGCCGGCGCGCGGGCGGGCGGTGGGGCGGCCCCTCTCGCGAGAGCGGCGGCGGGCGGAGCGCGGCGGGGTGAGCTCATCCCGGGCGGCGCGGGCGGGAGCGCCGCGCTCGGCTCAGCCCAGCCCGGCGAGCGGAGCGGAGCGGACTCGAGTCGAGCTGAGCCCAGCCCAGCCCAGCCCAGCCGCCGGCAGCCGTCGCCGCAACTTTGTTGGGTGAGTTGCGAGCGGCAGCGCCGAGCCGGGACGGGCTGCGCGCCGTGCCCTCTCCTTCCTCCCTCGGAGCCGGGCGCAGGGAGCCGCCGTGCCGCTGGCTGAGGGGGTGTGCGGGCGGCTGGGTGGGTGTGCGAACGGGGGAGCGGCCCCCAGCCCCGGGGCTGCGCCGCCCCCGCCCCGACAGCCCGGGGTTAGCGGGGACGAGGGCAAGGGGGCCCGGGCGAAAGTGGCCCGCAGAGCCCTCTCCCGCCGCAGCGCCCGGAGCCGGGTGGGGGGCGCCTGCCCCGTGCGCCCCCGGGGCGGCGGGAGCCCGCAGTGCCGGCAGCCCCGGGGCGGGTCGGGCGCGGGTCCCCCTGCAGCGAGCCGTGCCGGGTGCTGTATTCGGGATTTGTGTCTCTTTCCCCGCAGGAGAGGCAGCGTGGAGCGGGAGCAGCGCGGCCGGAGGCGGCGGTGAGCGGCGGCGGCCCGGCCCGCTCCGCTCCGCGGCTCCCGTCCCTGCGGAGGCGGCCGCGCCGAGCGCGCCCTGCGGCGGGGGACGCGCTCCCCCGCGGCCCCGAGCGGCACACGCCGCTCGCCCCCGCCGCTCGGGAGATAACTTGGCTCTTGTTCGCCGCTGTAAGTTGCACTTCAGTATTTCCACACACCCCCCCCCCCCTTCTGTACTTTTTATAGCCAGCGAGGGTGTAGTGGGGCTGGTTTTGTTCCGAGCTGATGCTGAGAACGCAATAATGATAACAATTAGGTGATTTGGAGGCAGTGCCAGTGGGAATGTTCTGAATGCTCAGCTCACGAGAGGGGGTTGGAGGAACAAAACGTTTGCGGATGGTTGATTTCTTCACTGGGAACCTGGAAAAGTGGGAAAACAGGGAATGCCTTAAACTGGATTTTATGGGAAGGGAGAAAGCGGTGGAGAAGAAGGGAAAGGTAGATGAGAAGGCATTAACCCTCCTAAGCTGAGTTTGTTTGCTTTTTCCTGGTTTGATTCATTGCATGAAGTCCTGACGTTAACGTTCTCATGCTATATTTAAAAATATCTGTATTATTTGCACTGGATAGCTCTGATGCAGCTTCACTTCATTTAATGAGGAATGCACTCATTCATGTCTGGTAAAGCAGTGATACAAAATGGGAATTGCTCAACTTAATGAATATCTCCTTGTATAACCTTGGTCACAACATCTGTATATTTTAGATCAAGGGGGCACATTTTTACCAGTGGAATAATATAGGGGCATTTTTTTTGATAATGCTGTTTACCGGATTGCATTTAAAAATTTTGCCTACAAAATCACTTTAAAAAATTTTAGCGATGCTGCTTTAATGAACCCGTTACCGCATGCTGAATGAAGTGCATTTGTGAGCTCGGAGCCTTAGTTGTTAGTACAATGCAAATTTGTCTTCAGAGTAAAGGTGTCAGATTTCATTAGGTTCCAGATCTGTATGGATGAACCAAGATTGGTGTTTTCTTTAGAAAGCAGCCCTTTCATGATGGAATTTCGATTTAGTGGCCTTTTTTTCCCCCCCCCTGCTAACTAGGGGAATTAAGCATTTGTTTAATTTAAGGCATAAACCAGTTTTGTAAAAGGAAAAACAGTCTTACTGTGAGTACTAACTGGACACTAATCTTGTTTTCTTTAGTGGAGAGTGTGGTTATTATTTATTTGGAATGTATTGCTGGCTACACTCCATTCCCCTTCAGCTGGAGTGATGGGAGAGACGTGAAAGTATTAAGGTTGAAGTTTGTGGCAGTTGTAATCGCAGAGAGAGATCTGTAAGTTGTGTTTCACTGTCAAGGCTTTTATGCCTTAGGCCATCAGATGCCATACCAGTTATTAATGCAGAAACAGTGTGGGAACTTCAGAATAATTTTTTCATGGTTTCAAAAAAACAACCCCTTATGTTCTATTCAGGTAAAGCTAAAGAGAAAATTTTCATGATTGAATGTTTTATATATGTACTATGTCTCCTTTTTATTGGTAGGTAACTAGGGATGGAAGATTTTTTTTCACCATTTTAACAATGTTTATTTATGGACAGTTGATTAAAGGATGTGCACTTAGTTGCTCAACGCTGTATTAAGAAGGTATTACTGATGTTAATAAAATGCTTGGTTTCAACATTGCTACTTGGGATAGGCATACTTACCTCTCAGTTGTGGTTCATAGAGCCTCTTAGATCATGAAGTCAGAAGCGAAGTAGAACGTCAGCTCTGACTGTTTTAGGGCTGCAAAACCTTGATGAAAAAGGCTAGCAGGTGTAGAGGTAGGCAGTGACACAGAACTGTGAAAGGGTGGAGCTGCAGCCAGGAGCGAAGACTTAATATGGGGACATGTAATACATAGTCTGTTTTTTCTATAATAGAACGTGTGGTCATCGTTTCACCTGTGCATCGTCTAAGTTTGAAGAGCTTTTTCCCCGTCTCATGTTTGTCTGAAATATTATTTTGAGGTTTGGGATTAACTTTTGGATAGCTGTTGTTTTAAAAAATATGTCCAAATGTGGCCTCTTCCCCCTCCCACAGGCGTTCAAGGAGGTTTTTTTTTCATCATTCTTAAAAGCATTCTGCTACCACTTTGGAAGTGTTTTGTTCTAGTGTAGCTCTTACTGTCCTCTCAGTTTTGTAAATCTGTCTCAAGTATTTCCTTTAAAATGTCTGTTCCAGAATTACTAGTTTTATTACTATGATGGCATTTTTTTAATAAATAGGAGAACAAAACTTCAGAATATTCCTACCAGTTATTTTGAATTTCAGTAAGGTTGTGTTTAAAGAGGATGATTTTGGAAATACATTGGGAAAATGCGAGGTAGGCTAGTAAGGGAAAGGGCTGAGGCCCAGTTGAATTTCTTTTCTATTCCTCTGTTTTGTCCTAGAGAATGTCTATTGTAGGGAAGAAAAAGGAATAGTCTTCTCCATATCAGTAGTTTAATCCCGTCAGCAAGGGGGTTGCTGCAAGGTATTGAGTTCTTGCTGCTACTGGTTAGAAATCCTGGATGCCCTACTGGGGCAAAGAAGCAGAGCTTCTGCCTTTAAAATTTCAGTCGCACAAGTTGGTTTTCCTAATGCTGATGATCTCAGAAGTTGAAATTTATTCTCATTGACCCTGAGTGTTGGCTAGTTGGCAAATAGTTTTATCTGTCGGTTCTTTGGCTTTCTCGGCTTTCGGCAGATTATTTTTCAGCAGCTCTCTAATTTAAATATTTAAAAAGTCAATAAGGCATGATTTAATTATCTTAATATCTTTTAATATCTTTGCTTTGTTTACTTCATTATCCATATTTTAGATTTTTATTTTATTAATTTAGTCTGAAAGCCATTTGTTTAACTTGTTAATAAGTTATGACAGAAATACAGCAGTATTAAGTGCACTTATTTCTTTTATCAGTGTAAATACATATATTTTAAAAACTACTAGGTGAGGCTTTTGTTGATTTGGCATGTAAAATTAATCATGTTCCATAGCTTTCTGTGAGCAAAAAAAAAAAAGTTATATTGTTCTGTTTTATGTTTCCAGGGAGATTTGACTTCAGTGACTTGCAATTTAGAGGGATATACTTGACATCAACTTTTAAGTAGTCTAAGATTGATATTTTACTGAGTTCAGTTTAATGTTTGAATGGGGACTTCGAGGCTGAAGGTTTATAAAGTGGGATTTGATGGCTCTGTGAGACTTGAGATGTTCTCTAATGAGGAGCAATCAATGTTTTTTGGGAGTACATGGCCACTGGTGATGCTGAGCGAAATAAATTTTGTGCATTTGACTTTTTTTGATTTTTAGTTCCTATGCAGCACAAGACTAACGGTGTCTGTAGCAGTTTCGGTGTTAGCTTTGGTAGTAGTTTTGCATTCTGAACTTTAGGAAACCCTTTAGGAGTTGCAGAGACTAGAACTGCTTGGGTTTTTAACTGTCTTTGAACATGAATCAGCAGATAAAATGTTTTTAGATGTCTGTCTTTGCATATGTAAAGCTAAATTATGTCATTGTCTCAGTCTCTTTAATTTTGAATTCTGTGGCACCAGTTTGCTGGGTGAGTTATTTGATTTAGATTCTGCCACATGTCTTTTTATGTTAAGTGAGACTAAGCATTTACAAGTCTTTGTTTTCATTATGGAAACGTGTTTTAAAGAGCACTTATTTTCAATGCAGCAAGAGAACACTTTTCATAATCTTGGTAGCTGTTGAATTGTATGATTGCTGACTATTTGTCACGGTTGTTTTAAAGGTCTAAGTCTGTAAGTGGATCCTCTCTTGCAAAGCTGTGTCTTCATACTACCTGAGCCCATGGTGGATGCTGCAGTGCAATAGTCATAGCTCTTCTTTCCTGCGCAGTGGCTGGATGTCTGTTTTCAAGAGAGAGATGAAGTTCCTGAAAAATGCATGACTGCATAGAAAACTTTTCTGAATGCTTATAATACAGAAGGAAGAGTTGTTACTGGGAGTAGCAGTTCATGCTTAGGCCTGAGAGGAGCTTTGAATTTTTTTGTGGATGTTTTGATACTCTTTTACTTTTGGTCTTAGACTCTGTAGAAAGGGAAGAACGCTTTCTTCAGATGGATTTTGAAAATTAGCAGAGTGCTTTTTGAAGACCAGGTTTTATTTCATAAAGTTGTATCAAAAGTTAAATAAACTCCTGGCATGTCTTAAAGTTGGACTGTTCTTCATAATTCCTTACAGTTTACCTTCAGTGATAAAAAAGCTTTGGGTGGTGTTTGTTTAAATTTTGTGTTATTTGTTTACCTTTTGAGGTAACATGTTTTTTACCTCAAAATACTCATTTAGACCTTGTTACTGCAAAACTGGGAAATATGTTGACTTTGAACTTGTGCATTAACATAGACTTTTATCTTGGTGAAAACTTTTTAAGTTAACCCTGAAATATGTCTTATTTTTCCTAATTAGTGATGTTATAGTGGATTAAAAAACCTCAACCAGTTAGAATTGATGGGAACCAATTTCTTTTTCTAGGCTACTAGAAAGTATGGGTTAAAAGTTAAGCATAATTTGAAGAAAAGTTACCTGTTGAGTCTGCTTGTGAATTATGTTTAATATACTTGGCTGGTATTATTTGATGAATTTTAGTGCTTACTTTTAGAGTCGGGGAAATTGCCAAACATCTTCCTTTGCTGTGTAGCCTGCCTTGCTGCCTCTCTCTGTGCAGTGAATGGTGAGGTTCCAGGACGTACCCAGGGCTGCTTTTGTAGCGTGGCTCTGTTCTCTGCATTTTTGGAGTCATGATGCATTTTACAGCACCATCAGCTAAATCAATTGTCTTCTGACTTTTGAATAAATAATGACAGGCTTATTGTATGCTGATGTGAAATGGGATTAATTCAGAACTTTTTTTGAGAGTGGCAGATAATATCTGTAAAATGATTGCTGTGGTAGCAAAACTTTCTGTGTGCTAGTTGTTCACATCAGCAGCTCTGATAAATATCTTGGGTTTTCTTGGTGGTGGTAATACAGACAGCTCTATCTAAAGAGTTACAGACATTTTTAAGGCATGCGTTTGTTGTTTGACCTAAAGTTGCTATGGTGGTTTAACCTCAGACAGCAACTAATAAACACACAGCTTAGCTTAGAACATTTTTGTTTTTCTTGGAACTTTTTCAAATGATTGCAATTTTATTTTGTATTGCCTGTTTTTTATTTGGTGTTATTATAAGCTACTGCTCTTATTTGCTCACTCAGAATTAGTTCACACTATCATATGATGTGTTGGTGCAGATCCATGATGATTGGTGTTTACAGGATAGGTTATTTCCTGCTTTTTTTTTTCTCCTTTTTGTTTCAAAGAGTGCTTCTTTCCTTCATTTGATTTTGAAATTGCTGCTTGTGTGCATGACTTTGTCACTTGGCAAATAATTTGATAGAGAAGAAGTGGGTCTATGGCTGAATGTAAGGGTGTCAGGTCTCCCAGACTGACATCTTAGTATTTGGGTAGTTTTACCTCAGGCAGAATTTAGTCTGGTCTCCTAAACTAACTGGTAAATGTTCCCAACACAGATGTGTTTTGTCCCCTTGAACCATTATGACCTTTAAGAGTTGGGCCACATTTGGTGAACTTCTCGGGAGGGGTTTTTAATTTTGTTTTCTTTAGCAGAATTCTAGTTTATGCACACCAAAACAACTATAGAAATTAACAGTTCTGGAGGTGGTTAAGCATTTAATAGCCCCCCCCAGTAGTGACTGGTGAATCTCCATCGTTGGAGACTTTTAAAGCTTGATAAGACAAAACCATGAGCCACTTGGAGCAATGTGGAAGCCAGCCCTCCTCCAGCAGGAGATGGGGCTCCTGAGTTAAACAGCTCTGGGCTCTGCAGGCTGCTAGCTGGTGATAGC